GAAAGACGCACCAGCTTTGGTTTCCTGCACAGAGGAGTTTCTGAGGCACATCTGGGGTCCGTGAACTTTGCATTTGTAGAGAGCAGCCAGGGTGTGCACCCTGGCGTGGGGCGTGCTGTTTGCTGACCAACTGGGTCAGCACCGTGTGGGAGCACCACACCTGACGGCCCCAAACAAGCTGGGGCTCTGGTCTGGGTGGTGCAGGGGAGCCAGCTCCCAATGAGCACTGCCTGCTCAGAAAGTCACAGAGAGCAGTGCAGACTCTGCAAAGTCAAACAGAAATCATGAGAAATTGGAAACAACCTTACATTGAGGTAGCAGTGGTGATCAGACAGTCGAACACTGTGGGGCCCCTAGAAAAATGAGATAGACTTTCCCGGGCTTCAGGGGACTGTCCAAGGCTCACCATGGGAGGAGAGGCAGGTATGGCCTGATGCCTCCGCCTGGAGCACCAAGCCCATGCGAGCAACGAGATGCCTGCAGGGCCCAGCCGGGTCTCCCTGGACCAGTCCAGGCGTAGCCGGCTCAGGGCCCCTCCTTCCTCTCTGCAGCGAGCTTCATTTCCCCAGAGAAGAGCCGGAAGATGCTGCCAACCCCCGTCGGGACCAACAGCGGCACCTCCCTTCTGGGCCCCAGCCTGCTGGATGGCAACTCTCGTGACTCGTTTGTGTCCCGGTCCCTGGCTGATGTCGCCGAGGTAAGCGCATGACCTTTCCCCCAAGCCTGGGTGCCAGCCTCCATCCCAGAGCTGCCAGACCCTCCGGCAGACCTGTGTGGTTACTCAGAACTGCTCACCAAGATTTACACGTCAGGAGCCGTCATGGACAGAGCCCAGCCTCTGACTGCTCCTGAGAGGGAATCTCTGCCAGTACTGGGCCGGCATTTGTCCCGCTGGCGGCAGGTGACAGACCCTGAGTCACGGCTGAGCCCGGAGCTCTGAAGGCAGCTCTGGGTCTTGTGTATCCTCCACCAGCTGTGTGACCTCGGGCAGGGACTCTGTGTCCCCCTGCTCAGTCTCCTGATCTGCAGAGGAGAAGAGGCGGTAATGGCGGTGCCATCGTTGCTGCCACCTGACAGAGGGGACCCTTGAGCAGCACCTTGGTGTCGTTGCTCATGGCTGACCTGCCGAATGGGGGGAGGGCTGCTGCAGAGGCTCCTCTGTGATCACGTGATGACCCGGGAGTCATGCTGTGGCAGTGTGTCACCCCCATGTTCTGCCTGGAATGCAGCATCCCTCTTTTCTTTGTCCAGGCCGCTGCCTCACACAACCACCCAGGCCTCCATCCCACTAGGTTTGAGTGGTATCTGTGGGCAAGTAGGGCTGAGGGAGTGAAGACGGGTACATTTAACTAAGACTCCAGGCGTGAAGTAACAGGTACTGTAGGAGTTTAGACAGAGGCTGTGCTGAGGGGAGAACCTAAGTCTAGAATGCCCCTGGCCCAACCCTCAGCTCATTGCTGAAGTCCTAGAGCAGCATCTCCCCAACACCGGCTCCCTGGGCTGTCGAGGCACTTGTGGGGGGCCCTCGAGCATTTCATAGTCGATACTCGGGGGGAACCTGGATCAAACAAAGCTCACACAGCTGTTTCCCAGGATGCCTCAGCTTCTCGGTGTCCGGACGTAAATCTCGAGATCCAAGGGGATTTTGAAAACAAATTTGTTTTTTTGAAATTTCTTGTAGTTAAAAAGTTTAAAGTTCAGTTCATCCTGTGCTCTACTCAGAATTTTCCGAAGGCTTCTTATTTGTATTTGTTCATTACATCAAGCAGTTTGTTAATGAATATTAATTGAGGGCCTTCTAGATGCCGGGCACTGCTACAGGCCCAGAATGGACAAATTAAAGGCCCCATCCCCATGAGGCCGACAGTCCGGTCCAGCGCGGGAGGAGACAGTAAACTCCCTGGCTCTGCCCACAGGACAGTCCTGATGCGTGAGGCCCCACTGTGCACACTGTGGTCTCCTCTACTCTCTGCCTTGCTTACTGTCACGTCCACCATCTTTCTTGTTTCTTGAACAGCCGGCTGTTCCCACCTTAGGGCCTTTGCACCTGCTGTTTCTTCTCACGGGAATGTGCTTCCCTCGTGGCTTTACATGACTTGCTCCCACTTCTGCTCACACCCCGCCTCAGAAAACCCTCCTCTGACACACAAGCCTGTGGCAAACTCCCTCCTCCACTTCTGTCTCCTTCAGGCCACCCCACAGTCCCTAGTTCTGCTACCTTCCCTCTGCCTCTCTGTCCACTGACCATCCTCCCCGGGGACCCACCACTCTGATCCAGCAGCTGGGCGGCCGGGCTCACAGTGCATACTTGTCCACAGAGCGAGTGACAGAGGTGATTCTGACGTTGTCCCTGGAGTGTGGGGGCCGCTGTTACGTGGCCACCAGGGGGACTCTCACCCTCATTGTAGGGGGAGTTGCACTTAAGTCCAGCCATGGTGACCAGCTGCCTGCTCACTCGTCTCCCCGTGTCCTCTTCCACAGGTTGTGGATTCCCAGCTGGTGTGCATGATGAACGAAAACAGCATCGATTACATATCCCGGTTCAACGATCTGGCCCAAGAGCTGTCCATCGCTGAGCCTGGCCGCCGAGAGGTTCTGTTTGATGGCGGTGGAGGTGGCCCCCCGGTCGGTGACCTGTCCCAGTGACTGTGCCTCATGGCTGGGGCAGCCCGGAGGCTGCGGAGGACAGCTTATGGGGTTGGTGGTCCTCGAGCATCATAGGGGTAGCCCTCTTTAGAAGAGAGAAAACATAAATCAAGCGCGGACTCCCAGGAGACAGTCTGAACAGAGGCACCTCTGCACCCAGAACGTGCAACGTGCAGACAGCCATGTCCCAGCAGGCCGAGGCAGTGGTGGCCAGGCGATGAGGGAGTGTCCTCAGCAAGGCCAGTGTCAGATGTGGCCCTGGCGTCGGACCCACCCCCTGCCAGGAGCATGTGTTAGGGTCTGCACGGTACCCACGCTTCTGCCTCGGTCATTGTGTCAGACGTTTCAGGGTGTTTTCTTTCCAAGAGAAAAGAGTGGTGGGCCTGGCTGTCGTCGTCATGGCCTGGGAGCTGTGACCTCCTGCTCTCTGCAGGGAGGCTCCAGGGCATTGCTGCCTTCTTTGCGCCAAACCCACTCCCTGCTCCAGTTTTTCCCTCTGCAGTGCGAGGACGGGGAGGACAGCTGGGCATGACCTGAGACAGCGGACACTGCAGAGGACACTCCAATCACGGGGCAGTGGGAGGGTCCCAGGTCAGCGCAACTGGTGCCACCTCCCCAGAAATCCTGACCGTGGCCTAGTGCTTCCTCATCTGGAGATTTTGTTCTGACTGACTCAACAGGAAGGGGGAAAAGAATCATGTCTTATGCGGGTTGGGTGGACTTTTAAAAAAATCCCGCTAAGCTGGTCAGAAAATGTTTTTCTTGTATTTTGAGAATTAGGAGACATTGGAGAGGAAGAACAGGGTTCCTGTTTAGTTGGTTTCTTCCCCGCATCTATCTGCACGTTTCTTCTCGGTGATCTGAGATGTTATTTCTCTCTATTAGGGTGATCCCCAAGCACTCATTTGACTACAGATAAGACTTTCCTGATGATCTTGAACTTCTGACATGTTTCTGCCTAGCATTTTGGACAGATGCCATTTGCAGGGAAAGTTCTCTCTTCCTTTCCTTGGCATCAGTGCAGAGTATGCCCCAATGCATATGTCTAATCCCTTGCTTGTATTTCTGCCTCATGGTCTCCTGTTTCTCTTCCTCCCGTTCAGGGAATCCAGGCAAGGGTCAGACATCACGCGCAGTCAGGGTGCGCTGAACCCACATCCCTCTGGTGTGCTCCTTGAGCCTCCTCGGATGACCAGCTGTCACCATCTCGGGTAGTGCAACATCCAGTCTTTCCCCAGAATGGAGTTAACACAGCTCCTCTGCCTTCTCAGCCTTGCGGGGCCAAACACACAAACCACCATCCAGGCACACCTGTGTGGCTGGGCACCAGTGCTGTGGTGTTGGGGCACCACCCCACCTGCTGCTTATCCCTGCCCGGCAGCTGCAGTCAGTGTGGCTTCTTGAATCTGCCCCAGCCCACTACTGTTAGTGTTCATCACCTTGCCTCTCTCCCAGCTCACTGTGGACCAGCAGCCTTCGAGGCCAGCTGGACCCTCTCCTCTGGTTCCTCCCCCTGCCCGCCCGCCACCCCTCGCCCCCCGCGAAGAGATGAGCCAGTGTGCAAGGAGAGGGGAAGGTCCTTCGCGAGTACAAGCAGAGGGGCCGCTCTTGATCCTGCCGCCTCCCCAGCGTGATCAGCTGCTCCAGGCTGCAGGCTGGGTTGTCCTCTCCAAGCTGCAGAGGAAGCAGGACAGTGGCTTCCAGGCGGTAGCTTCCTTCCTTCCTCTCCAGCTTTCCTCAGAGCTCTTGCCTGTCATGTGTCCTCCCTCTTTCAGATCTGGATTTAGGCACAAACATCACTAGAAAAGCCTGTGTGGGCAGACCTCCTGGGCTCTTGAAAAAACAGTCCCAAAGCTCTGGAGGTCTGAAAGAAAGGGATGTGGTACCACTTTAAGAGAGATAGACAGCAGTATTTGAGTCCAGAGTCTCTTTAAACTAGTTTGTGTTTTGTGATCAATGTATCAGCTTCCTGAAATTAGCACCTTATTGAGCCAAACAAGATCAGTAGGTCTGTCTCTGGGCATCTGACCCGGTTAGATCCACAGTAGATCAGGCCAAGGTTAGGCCCTACCAGCTTTCTTGTATTCCCACTGTCTGGGACCAGAGATGCCAAGTAGCATTACCGCATCAATGCGGGGGGCAGTGCCCAATGGCAGTGGGCACTGTGCCAGGGACAGTAGCGATCCCGAGCTGCTTATCCATCAGGGAACACCCCACAGTAGTCTGGTCAGTAGGTTGGCACCTGTCACCTGGTGGACGTCCAGCAGGAGGAAAACTCTGGAGATCTGGATAAGACTTTGTCGGCCTTTTATTCAGCAGCATGTCCCTCTTGGGTCTCCCACACAGACTCCATTTGGGAGTAGCTGACTGCCCAGTGTCATCCAGTGGGGAGGTGAGTTGCGGAGGAGAGTGGACTGACTCTTCTCAAGCCTGTAATAAAGCTGACATGATTTCAGAGAACCCTGCTTCTCTAGCGACCAGACAGGTATAAGCATTTGCCTGCCATATTAAGGAAAAATGGTGTCGTCTGTAGCATTAAAATGATGGATGCCTTTTCTCCCAGCCTAAATGGTTATATATGTATGAAAATAAGCAACTGTTATGTTAAAGGCTGGAATTTTTCAAAAGACCCAAGCAGAGACATCTCTCACTTCTGCATCTCCCTCTGCCCTTCCAGCGGAAGTTGTGATAGTGTCAGTATACACCTGTGGCTTCCTTTGTGCATTTGAGCATGTTGTGATTAAGACCAGGTCAGTTTCTCAGAAGAATCTTCCCCTAGTCACTCTAACGTTGTCAGGGATCTTTTTGCTGATTCATCTCTTCTAAAGCTTGAGACTGAATATCTTCGGTCTCAAGGGAGTTGTTTTTGCCTTGATTCTTCATTGTGAATATCCAGTGATGAGCATTCCAATCTTCAGAAGGTGCAGAGGCAAGTTGAAGTTCGTGATTCCACATAAGGTTCGTGATGGCATTTTTCTCATTCCTCTGTGTCTTCTGGGCATAGGGTACTTGCTCAGGGAGTGGGGGTATTTGGAAACATTTCATCGGTTGATCCACATGCTTTCCCACCTCAGTCCCATTCTCTAGCATTCTGTACCATAGCCTCATTACTGGTGGTGTCTTTTCAGTTTAATAGCATCTTTAACTAGATCACACCATTGAATCCAAACATGTACAAAGAACAGTCATAGAATAAAAGACACTTGAAACAAGTGGAGGAGGAAAACAGCAGTTGCTTTTTCTTTTTCCTTTAACATTGAGATCAGATGCATTTAGGAGGTAATATGGCACTTTGTCTTAAGAAAAAAAAGAAACCCACAGCAGACCTTTCCTGACTTGTCAAAACTCTCCTAATCCTACAGTAACTTGTAAGTCGTGTTAGGTGAGGTAAGTCTTGGAAGCACTACAGTAGCCCATGCCCTTTGTTCTGTAACAGGATAACCGGCTCTAGAGCTTCTGGGCAGCAGAACTTATTGCTGTTTTTTATAATAATCGTTAAGCCATATCATCTAAGGTTTTCGGCTTGAGATGTGAATTTGTTTTATAGATTATAAATATACATATACAGTGTATGTATAAAGCAGAATGCCTGTCCTTCCTGATTATTTTTTGTACCATATTGTAAATTATATTATTTATTCTTTACCAATTTGGGGAATAAAAGGTGTTTGGTTATTTAATATAATAAACAAAAGCTGTTAAACTTCTTATGTTTAAATTTCCAGTTCAACTTGTAAATCTGTTTTTATTATTGTGCATAAATACATACTAATACTTGATCTAATAATTACTGTTTCTGCTTTTTTCTTTTTAAGTGTGCACTTTGCAAACAGCCCAAGTGGCTCTCCTCTGGTGAGATCTCAGAGGAATCGATGAGCTGTCCACAGTGTAACTGAGCAACAAAACACTGCTGAACGTGTTTTGTTTTTTTGAGCTAGAAATCAGACAGCTGGCACAGTTTATCCCTTGCTTCCCATTTCTGAGTTAGTGTTCTTGCCCCCACGACGTGCAGGACAGAGGAACTGCGATTCCGTTTCCTTTGGCCACGTATCCATGTGCTATTGACTGGCTGGCGAACACCAAGCGTCTCCGGACAGGCTGGACCCAGCTCGGTGCTGCTTGGCGCCGGCACTGCAGACCCGGGAGGCGGGCGCGAGGCCCCGTGGGTCTGCGGGGAGTTTCGGCCAGGTGCCCGGATAGTGCCCGACCCCGCCCACCTCGGGGGAGTGGGGTGGGACTGTCCCCCGCCGGCTTACTGCCCAATGGCGGTGCCCGGCGCCGTGAGCGGTACCTGTTCTCACCAATCGGCTGCGAGCGCGGCACAGGCCTCACCAAGCTTCCGTCTCGTGGGGCGGGGTCCGACACCACGATAGGCTGATGCAGCTTAACTGGTGTCGGCGGCGCCCAATAAGAGCGAGAAGGCGGGCCTCGCGTCGCGCGGGGCCGGGCGGGAAGGACGGCGAGGCGGCCGGGAGGCTCCGGGTGGCGGTCGACATGTTCCGGGCGCCGGAGAGTGAGGGAGGCCGGGCTGGCTCCAGGTGCGGCGCGGGCGCAGCCACGGTCACGTAGGATGCGCGGGGGCGGCGGGGCGGCCGCGGTGAGCTTACAGAGCCGGGGCCTCCGGGGCCGGGTCGGGGAGGTGGGCGCGTCCGCGGGACCCGGAGTCCTGAGTGCGCCTCCCCGCGCGTCCGGTCCCAGCACGTGCCCCTTCATTGGCGAGCGCGCCGGAGATGCTGGCCGAGCCGTCTGTTGCGGGGGGGCGGGCGTGGCGGCGCTGCTGGGATTCTGGGGCCCTGCGGCGTGTGCGCGAGTGGATGGGCCTCGGGGCAAAGTCCCGTCCCGGGAGCCCTCAGCACTGCCGCAGCCCGGGAGCCAGGCGGCGCCCTCCCCCACTTCACTGACAAGGAAACAGGCGGGACAGCAAGTGATAGAAGGAGAGTTTCGACTGGGTTTAAACACTCAGGAACACATAGTGCGCTTGCTTTCTTTTTAGCTTGTAGAGCAATGGGTATTGGGAGTCACATAGAGTCGCCAGAGCTGTCAGTGTCCTGCCGCTGGAGGAGCCAGCTTGCGTTGTCCAGCTGGTTCTTCAGCTGCCTAAGAATTTTCTTTATTGTGAGCCTTTTCTGTGACCCAGCCCCACAATAAAAGCAGAAGAGTGTGACGTCTGTTGAGGTAAGCAGTACATAAAATTAAAGAATTGTTTCGAGTGATAAAATCCCTGTAAATTTGAGGGAGTTAGGTCAGTATTCAGTAATACTCCTACCCAAATAATGAGTCATTATCCCACGTAACAGTGACTATTAATCACTCTCGTCTAGATCTGTGCTGATATGGGGCCAGAAGTATATCCTGGAGTGCGCAGAATGAGTCAGGTTTCTGGTGCCTGAAAGCTGCTGTTCTGCACCACCCACACCAGCTGGGCAAGGGCTGCTTCCCGCACTTTCTCAGTGCGCAGAATGAGTCAGGTTTCTGGTGCCTGAAAGCTGCTGTTCTGCACCACCCACACCAGCTGGGCAAGGGCTGCTTCCCAGCACTTTCTCCGTTGTGTCCACTAAGTACACTCTTTCTTTGTTTACACAGCCTGGCACTGGATGCCTAGCAATCATTGGTCCAGTTAGCGAATAAGCTCTGTGAGGAACGTTGATGTGAGGCTGACTTCCAAGCTGTAGGAGACAGTACAGAGCTGGTGCTCTAAACTGATACCCACATTTCTTTGGGGCATTAGTTTTTGGAGAGGATAAGGAGAAAATTCTTCCTTTTAGGATGTTGGAGAAGGAAAACCCATCTTAATTGGATGATCGATTGGAAGCTCTTGCTTGGGATCAGTTAGCAGCTTTGTCTTAGAGGAATTGACTACCTGACAGGCCTTTTACTTAGCTGTGAAGGGAATCAAGTGGTGGCTGTAAGACTACTGGGCCAGGTTTTCCTCTCTTAAAACCCTACTTTTGTTTTCTTGCTGAAGGATTATCTGGTGTTAAAGGGATTTTGAACTATAAAAGCATTATGCTTTAGCCATCATTAATCTGAGGTCTTTTAAGCTGTAGGATGTATATTTATAAAGAATTTAATCTAGGTCTATTTTGCAGCTTCACTCCAAGCCTGACAGGTCCCCCATAGCTTTTCTGGGATACAGGAATAAGCTGTTGGAGGGGGGGTCACGAGCATGGGTCCCTCCAGGTGAGCGTCGATGTGGCCTCTGCTGGTTCTGTGGTCCACTTGAGCTGTGTGTATTTTCTTATCACGTGCCCCTTAGTTTCTGTTGTGTACTTGGAATGTCTTCATTGAAATGTATCCAAGGGGTACTGAAAAAGGAAGCCATAACTGGGAAGCATCCCCATGTAGTGAGGTCATCCCCAAGACGTCTGAGCTACTGGTATTCCCATACCCCTCCTGTAATTAGGGTTGAAGTGATACCTGCACTTGATAGTGAGCCTGTGAGGGCCGCCTTGAGCCATTGTTGGAGCTTCTGTCTTTATGGAAATGTCTATTTAACTCTCAGTCTGGTTTATTCGAGACCCAGCCTGTGTGATTTGCTTGACTGCTGCAAGGCTGTGCGACCCTAGTGCCACCCCATAGCTTTTGTGGTGGAGACGCTTGCCACCTCTTCCCAGGAAACTTGACCATTGTGTACAATAATCTCTCTGGTACAACATTCTTGGGCACCACTTTCCTTCTCTTCTTTTCAAAGTAAAGTAAAATAAAATTCAGAAAAGTACACAAAATAATATAATAACGTATTTCCACCACCCCAAATTAACATTTGGCAGTTTCAAATAAATATCGCTTACCTTCTGTGCTGCAGTGGTTCTCTTTCCTCATGGAGACCACAGACACAATTTGAGCCTTACCTACTCCAAAGGTGTCTTTGGAGTTCCAGTGACACTCAGTGCCTCTATGGCATCAGTCATGCAGAACATGGAAACTGCCTCTGCACAGCTCTAGCCTTCCCAGAAAGCTGGGAGCTTCTCCAGGCCCAGGACTTGCTTACCTACTCCAAAGGTGTCTTTGGAGTTCCAGTGACACTCAGTGCCTCTGTGGCATCACTCATGCAGAACATGGAAACTGCCTCTGCACAGCTCTAGCCTTCCCAGAAAGCTGGGAGCTTCTCCAGGCCCAGGACTTGCTCTTGCTTGTCTTTCCATCCACAGGGTCTGGTGCAGGCCCACCCGTGGTAGGTGCTCAGGGAACGTGCGAGTTAGAGTGAAGCAAGAGGTGGAGGCCAGGGAGAGGCGTGTATCCAGGGATGTGGAATGTGAGAGGAGAGAGTGCTGGGGAGCCTACCCCACATCTGGTCTGACAATTTGAGGGTTTGAAAGAAAAGCTGTGTTGCAAGTAAGTCAGTAAAATAGGAATTTTAATTCATGCCAGTATGAGACTTGATGTTAAGTTCAGTTCAGTTCTGAGGATGGCAGATCTCAGAGACCCAAGCCTGTTGGACCTGCTTGAAAATATGCCAAGAAAAATCAGGAATGTCATTGTGTTGGGGCTGTGAGATTTATAATGGGTGTGGGAGTCAGATGGCCTCGGGTGTCCCCCACCAGAGGGCCTGACGTGAGGTCTTACTAATGCCTTTCTAATTTAAGTCTGGTTATTGGTCATTTTTTTAAAAAAGGTTTTTTCCCTTAAACCGAGTAATTTTTTTCTTTATCGAATCCTTAAGGAAATGCTAACTGCTGGACAGGCATCCCCGTCCCCTTCCTTCAAGCTGATGTGACTGAACCCATGTGGAAGGCTGGCCCACTGCGTACTTGGCTTGGGTGGTGGCGAGCGGCCTGCCTGGGGTCTCCATCCCAGTGAGCAGGCACGCTGGTGGCCCTCGGAGCAGACGAGCGCTTTCTGCTGTCCTGCTTTACAGCCAGAGAGCAGAAAACTCCGTTCCCTTTAAATTGCAACGAATGATCAGCTCCCTTTCTAGCTCTGTTGAGGAAACAGCATGTTAAACATCCTATTCTTCTAGTGTCTGCATCGCTTTTTTGTGACGAGCTCCGCAGTTTCATTTCTTTCTAAATGTCTGGGGTCACAGACGGTCCTCTTGCTTAGGACTGGTGAAAGAGCAGGGGCCACTCAGCAGTTTAAAACTCTGCTTTAAAATACGTTTGAAAATCTAGGTGTCCTGGGACTTTCCTGGCGGTCCAGTGGTTAGGCCTCCACGCTTTCACTGCAGGCAGCACAAGTTCCATCCCTGGTGGGAGAACTAAGATCCTGCAGTGTGGCCATAGGTTTCCTGTAAAGATGCATATGAATTCAGTGTTATGCTGCCCTGCTGAAGGAGACCGATGCTCTTGGGGTGTCAGGGAAGAGCTTTATGGAATTTTCTTAATTCTTCAGTATTGCAGTAAAAAATGACTCAAGGTCCTGCTCATCCACTTCTGAAATATCCAGCCTCCAAGTGCATGGCAGATTCCCAAAGATCGAGACCACAGTAGATTCGGCTGGTGGTGACTGAGTGTGGGAATAGCACTTCTCTCTGTGGGTGTTTAATTAAAATCCACACTTGAAGGATGCCAGTGTGTGCTGGGGTGACACTCTGCACATGTGTTGATCTAAAGTGAACAGTGGCCCAGCTGGTGTGTTCTGATCTGTCTGATGTTTAACTTGTCGTTGGTGGTACCAGACCTTGGGACTGGAAATCATCAGCCTGGTGTAGATTCCCAGGACTCACGTGGGTTAGTGGGGGTGGTGCTCCCCATGGTCTGAGCTGACACTTTCCATTAGAAATGTGAGCCACATAAGGAATTTTAAATTTTCTAGTAGCCACATTTTAAAAAGTAAAAAGATTCCGGAAAAATTAAGTTTAATAGATATTATTCAACTTAATATGTACAAAACATTGTTTCAACATGTGATCAATGTAAAAGATACAATTAAAGAGATATTATGCCTTTTCTTCTTTGTGGTGAGTCTTCAAAGTCTGGTGTGTAGTCTATACCTACAGCACATCAGAGCTCAGACCCCCATGTCCAAGTGCCCACTGGCCACAGTGGCCAGTGGCTGCCCTTTTGAGGACGCAGCTCTCTGGGTCAAGCTTACTCTGTGGGTAAGTGGTGCACTGCCCCGTCGTTTTTTTCTAGAGGATGTTGAGGATTATTAGGGTGTAGTCTGAGCTCTGCAACCAGACTGCCTGGGTCTGAGTCCTGGCTCTGCTACTTCCTTTGTGGCCCTCTCTTTAGCTCAGACTCATCCTCTGTGAAAATCATGCCTGCCTTAGAGGGTGGCCGTGTCAGGTCCTTGGAACAGGAGCTAGCGTGTATAAACGCTGAGCAAGTTTGAGCTACAACACGCAGCACTGTTGTCTGCTAATTAAAGTGACTATTAAATTCTACTGAACTGGCTCAGTTTGCCTGTTTTATGGAAACTGTAATTTTACTAACGAGAGGTCACAGGAGTAACTTCAGAGTATGCACATCTCTGGAGGTCTTGGCATAATCAAGATGTGCAGAGAAAACCTTTAAGGGAACTCAAGGGCAGGGAGGGAGGTTTGCCGGCTGGCCAACGGCCATGAGCTTGTCGTGCCACGGTGTGTGGTTTTCCCACAGATGTCTGCCCTGTCTGGCTGTGCCACAGCCTCTGGATGGTGGCGCCCAGGCCATCTGTCGGTCCCTCACACCCTGTCTGCTTGCAGGGCCATGAAGCCCCCGGGAGGAGAGCTGAGTGATCGTCCAGAAGAAGCCGCATCTCCACGCAGGCCCGACAGGATGGCATCTAATATTTTTGGATCAACTGAAGAACCTCAGAACATACCCAAAAGGACCAATCCCCCTGGTATGGGCTTTTGACTCCTTAACCCTTTGGCCTCTACCTGTTCTCTTTTGTGCTGCTCTTTTGATACAATTTTCCCTTTCTTTATGTTGATCCTCTCAGATGTTTTCTGGTGCAGGTTATCCCCTGCCATCAGAGTCCTAGAGTGGAAGGAAAGTTTTATCCTGACTTGTGCTTTGTGTCCTGAAGGTGGCTTGGTCATTCTGGAGCTCCCCCTCATCTGTCACCAGATACTGGCTGCGTATAGGCACTGAGGGTACAAAGGCAGATGGTGGGGTTCTGGTTCCCACCACGGAGGCTCCCCAAATTGTCCCGTGGACTCCTTGAGATTCTTGAAATTGTGTGCAAATTGTGCATTTAGAGTAGTTTTAATCAGATTGTTAGTGGGATTGAAACTAAAAAGGGTGGCTCAGCCTGGCACACATCTGTGTGGCTCCTCACTACTTACCCACCTTCTAGTGGCTCCAGTGGGAGGGAATCTCAGAAGAGTGTTTCTCTTGGCTGATGGACGGTCCAGCTGAGCGACTGCACAGCGATAGTTACCTGAGGAGCTTTCCCCTGTCTGTATCTACGAGGGGAAGACAAGGTTTGTTCCATCCTTAAAGATCTGAGAGACCCAACACAGGAGTCAGAATTTCAGACAAATAACGAAATCAAGCAGAACCAGAGCTGGAACTGCTCCCTACCCCACCCCAATTCTGGGTACAAATATTGCTTGACAAACCTAGAGGAACAAAAGCAATAGATTCAAAAGCTAGTTTTTTGGTTGTTTGGTTGTTTTCAGTGGTTTGGGGTGGGGGGTAAGGAGGGGTGGAGGTTAGTGGTATCTTTGGATTTAGTTATAGCAGAGAAGCAGGTGGTTCTTGCTGAGTAACATTCTCCCCTACCCAGTTTGTGGGGGTGCAGGGCCAGGAGTGCTCAGCCCTGCTCATCCTTTGTACCAACGATGTGATGTAGCAGATAGACTCAGACTGGAGGCACTGGAGTTGGGTGCACCAGCAGCCGTGGCTCTAGCTCGGCACCATGCACAGCTGCAGCTGTCTCTGGGGCTTCGGGTTCTCTAGACAGTGTGGCAGCGTGGGGCGGCGCTGCTTTGCCAGGCCCTCAGAATCTCATGCTCCCCCGCCCATCTCATGCCCTGTGGGCAGCCTGGGCCCCTCCTGACTGGAGAGTTAGAAAAACCCTACGTTGTGCACAGTCACAAGGTGTCATGACAGCGACGGGATGCCCTGTGCCAAAATGTCTGCTTCTCACAGTCCTGTTGTTTGGGGTTTGTTTTCTGTCCTGCCAAGTGCTCTGTGATGATAGTTGAGCATTTAACAAACGCCGGAGTACTCCCTCTGCCTCCTCCTGTCACCCAAGAGTTCTTTCTAACTGATGAATGAATTACATTAAAAAAAAAAAAAAAAAAAAGAGGGAGGAGGGAAGAAAGGAAAGAAGGAAGAAAATCACCTGTGATGAATTTCAAGGGCAGCCCAGAAGGGAACCTGCTGGTATGTCCAGCCCCGCAGACTCCAGGGAGGGCCTAATGGAGCACGTTCGGAGCAAGGGACTTGCCACTGGCCGTCACTGGAAGTTAACCCAGGCTGGTCGGGTGCTGTGTTTCATCTATTCTGGTTTAGACCTCCTCCTGACAGTGGTGATTGATACTGGTGGGTTATTTGGTGTTTGTCAGGGGCTGTGCTGGGTGCCGGTCGTCTCCACAGCTTGGAGGATAGGTGGTGTTACCCCCTTTACAGAGGAGGAAGCTGAGGCTCGGGATTCACTGGCCTGCCTGAGTCCACAGCTCGCTGGCGTGGCAGAACTAGCCTTTGGATGCAGGTTTTCCTGACTCCGAAGCCCGTGCTCCCAACTTACCTCCTGAATATATCAATTGGGGTAACTTTCCTGAAATGGAATTGCTGGGTCAGTTTATTTTATTTTATTTTATTTTTTATTTTTTGCGGTACGCGGGCCTCACTGTTGTGGCCTCTCCCGTTGTGGAGCACAAGCTCCAAACGCACAGGCTCAGCGGCCATGGCTCATGCGCCCAGCCGCTCCGCGGCATGTGGGATCTTCCCGGACGGGGGCACGAACCCGTGTTCCCTGCATCGGGAGGCAGACTCTCAACCACTGCGCCACCAGGGAAGCCCACTGGGTCAGTTTAAAATGATGGTTCTAGGGCTTCCCTGGTGGTGCAGTGCTTAAGAATCTGCCTGCCAGTGCAGGGGACACAGTTTTGATCCCTGGCCCTGGAAGATCCCACATGCCGCAGAGCAACTAAGCCCATGTGCCACAACTACTGAGCCTGTGCTCTAGAGCCCACGAGCCACAACTACTGAGCCCTCGTGCCACAACTACTAAAGCCTGCACACCTAGAGCCCGTACTCTACAACAAGAGAAGCCACCGCAATGAGAAGCCCACGCACCACAACGAAGAGTAGCCCCCGCTCACCACAGCTAGAGAAAGCCCGCGTGCAGCAACGAAGACCCAACACAGCCAAAAATAAATAATCATAATATAAATAAATAAAATGCTGGTGCTTCCACTGGTCTTCAGACGTGTGCTCTAGGATGTCTGTAGCGCTTGCTCCCCACACAAGGCACTGTGCCTTGTGATTTGGTTCTTTAAAAAGTATATCTTGAATTTATTTTTCTTCAATTATGAGTGAATTGAGCATCTTTTCCACCTTCATAGCCGAATTCATCTTTCAGGTAAAATGTTGAATAATAGATGTGCAGTGTGTCTGTTATTTTACTTTTCATAAAATTCAAAAAGGGAACTGTGTTGTTTAGGGTTGGACATATACATGGTAAAACTAGAAGAAGTTTGTAGTTTCCAGAAAATTCGGACACAGAACAACACAGGTTTTTGGGAGTTGATAGCGTTCTGTAAGACGCGTGATCATCTGTGATCGTTACTCGGGTGTTTGCTTTATTTATAGCTTAGGTACTTATCTGTGTCATGTTTCATAGTTTTTAAAATGTTTTTAAATGAGCAGTGCCTTTAACCAAAAACTTGAAATTGAATTACTTTTATTTTTATCTTGCATTTTAAAATAAGCTGAATGCGATCTTAGAAGGAATTTACTTAAGCATGACCAGCAACAGCGTGGTAACAAGCAGTGAGGGGTGACCTCGGGCAGCAGCTTTTCTCCACTTTGTAGTCCAAACATTTCTGCTGACGACACCCTGTTCATAACAGGAGCCCAGCAGCATGACTGGGAGCTTCCTCTCCACGCTCTGCTCTGCCCACTCCACATGTGTCGACTCACTTATCTCACCAATGACCCCAGCCAGGTGCTGTCACACAGTAGGTTAGTGGCTGAGCAGGATCCCGCCTGGCACTGGGTCCTGACCCCATGCTGTGCTGCCTGCCCCAGCCCGAGGGCTGCGGGTCCCTGGGAGGCCGTGGCTGGGGCTGGAAGGCTTGTGATCGGCCTCAAACGACACGAATGTGTGCATCTTCCTGCAGTCAGTCCCACCCATTCTCTAAGCTTCTCCTGGCCCAGAAAAGCTTCCAGGGCCAGGTTCCCGTCCTTGTGGAGCTGTGCTTTGTGTCCCCCAGACGACCAACCGGCGTCCCGAAAGGCTGGTCAAGTCTGAGGGCCTGCGAGGGGACAATCCCCCCATGGAGCCTCCTCCTCCTTGGAGCTCCATGCTCCTCTCACGGTGCACTGTCCCCTGTTCTAACAGTATGGGTTATTACAGCCAAGAAGTGACTGTTTAAAATTGAATTTCCTGGAGACAGTCAACAAAGATCACAACTATAAAAATGAATACGTTTAGTAGTCCTAAGCCCCTGCACCACAGCCACCCCATTTCCTGAGCAGACACATGGCCCCCAGAGGGGAGCACTTTGCAGGGAGGAAAGTGGAGTAACCAGTGCCCTTTATTCACATACAGGTGGGTAAGAATACCCTTCTTTTTACAGTAAGACGCTGTGTGCTGTCTAGATCGTTTTGTGCCTTTTTCACTGAACAGTATCCAAGGGAAGCTTCTTTAGCAAATGCTCACTGAGCATTTATGTCCCCAGTGTTGTCGTAAGCATTTGACACACAAGCGACAGTGAGTCACTGAATCCCCTCACAGCGCCGTGAGGAAGGGCCTTGTACCACTGCCGTTCGAAGGGTGAGGAATGTGGGGCGCAGAGGGGCCAAGCAACTTGTGTCTGGTCTCATAGCCATTTGTGGATGCACCTTCTTTCTTCTGTAAGATTATATATCTTAGTGGGAGCTTGGTGGAAGGGAGGCGCTGGTTGCTGAGTGCAGAGGGGGACGGGCTGGTGGCGTGTGCTAGCATCTTCCTGTTTAACGTCGGCATTTCCTTCTCACGTCCATGCCTTAGCCATTAGCTTATAAGAACTTACATCTGAGGGCTTCCCTGATGGTGCAGTGGTTGAGAGTCCGCCTGCCGATGCAGGGGACACGGGTTCGTGCCCCGGTCCGGGAAGATCCCACATGCCGCGGAGCGGCTAGGCCCATGAACCATGGCCGCTGAGCCTGCGCATCCGCAGCCTGTACTCCGCAACGGGAGAGACCACAACAGTGAGAGGCCCGCGTACCGCAAAAAAAAAAAAAAAAAGAACTTACATCTGAGATGCATATTTTTATTGTAGCTCATCAAATCATTTCTATTTGGCAGCAAAGATGTTAAATGTCTGTAATTCAGTGACACATCTAGTTGTCACTGGAAGTTCCAGGCAGATTGAGGTGAGGAGAGTAGTCATTCTCAGTAAATGTTGTTTTCCAGATTACAGGTTTGCCTTGAATAGGGCATGTTATTAATTCAGTTCTGTCTGTCTGACCTCAAAAGATGTTTGCTGTTTGCTTTTTTTTTTTTTTTTTTTTTTCAGTAGTGGCCTCTCCCGCTGCGGAGCACAGGCTCCGGACGCACAGGCCCAGTGGCCATGGCTCACGGGCCTAGCCGCTCCGCGGCATGTGGGATCTTCCCAGACCGGGGCACGAACCCGTGTCCCCTGCTTCGGCAGGCGGACTCTCAACCACTGTGCCACCAGGGAAGCCCCGGGTGTTTGCTTTTAATCTATGAAAGAACTTTTCATGGCTTTAACGTAGAAGATTCTTCAGGAGGAAAACATGAAAAGTTCAGGGTTCAAGATATTCTAGAGGGGAAAATGCTGTTTTATGCCATCTTACCATCTCACTCCTAGCGACAAGCCTGGGACAGCTCAGTTCTCGTGAGGAAGGCCCCAGCTGGCCCCCAGAAAGGGGTTGGGTTTGACATGGGTCTTTAGGGATGCTTGTCAACCTGATCACCCCACCCTTGTTGGCCTGAATTCAGGACTGACACTGTGGTGAGAAGACGTCTCTGAAGTCATAAGTGTGGAGGGTGGGTGGGGTGGATGTTCCGGGTTGCTAACCATCCTGATTTTTTCTTCAGGGGGGAAAGGAAGTGGTATATTTGACGAATCCATGCCTGTGCAGACTCGACAGCGTCTGAACCCCCCTGGTGGGAAGACCAGTGACATTTTTGGCTCCCCAGTCGCTGCTACTTCACCCATGGCACACCCAAACAAACCCAAGGTATGGACTGCATACAGATAGCAGACATGAGAGTAAGAAAAGCAAAACTTGAGCCAGGTACTCTTAAAAAGGCTCTGAGGCAGGTGTGACATGTTATTAGGAAGAGACAAGATGGGTGACATTGCTTTTCCTGGCTGTAGTCATTAGTCACCGAGTTTCAGAGCTCTCCTAAGTCATCAGAGGAATGTATTCCAGCCTCGTGATGACTCGAGCCTTGGGGGTCACTGGTGGTGGGGGCAGCCCACTGCAGGTAGGCCATTGCCCTTCTCTGCACATCATGGATGGATGCTGAGGATATTTATAATACTGAATGTAAAACAGGGGAGTTCACCTCATAAACATTCCACTATTTTTAGTGGTCATCAATCAATAAGTACAGTTACTGCATCGGATTAAAATTCACCAAATACTTAGAATTTATGGGTTCCTGATTTTTTTTTTTTTTTTTTTGCGGTACGCGGGCCTCTCACTGTTGTGGTGTCTCCCGTTGCGGAGCACAGGCTCCGGACGTGCAGGCTCAGCGGCCATGGCTCACAGGCCCAGCCACTCCACGGCATGTGAGATCTTCCCGGACCGGGGCACGAACCCATGTCCCCTGCATCGGCAGGTGGACTCTCAACCACTGCGCCACCAGGGAAGCCCCATGGACCATCTTTGAATTCTTATGAAAACAACCAAGCCTCAGTCAAACCAATCCTCATATCAATCAACACCACAGGGATTTAGTCAGAGTAATACAAGATATAGGAAACTACATGGAGTCAATAGGGGGAGATCTTAGTAATTTTTAAAAAGACTGAGGATTGCAATCCCTATCAAAGTTCCAACAGTGGTGTGGTTTGGTTTTTTAGTTTTTGTTTGTGTTTTGTTTGTTTGTTTGTTTAAAAAAATGGAAAGACCTATCCTAAAATTCATATGGAATCTCAAGGGACCCTGAATGGCCAAACAATCTTGAAAATGAAGAACAAGATTGGAGGATCACACTTCCCAATTTCAAAGCTTACTACAAAACTACATGAATCAAAACAACATGGTGCTGGCATGTAGACCAACGGAATAGAATTGAGAGCTGAGAAATAACTCACATCTGTGGTTCATTGATATTTCCACAAGAGTGCCAGGATCATTCATGAGGGGAGAGCGGTCTCTCCAACAAATAGTGCTGGGAAATTGAATGTGCACATGAGAAGAATGAAGGTGGACCCTTACCTTACACCATGTACAAAAATGAACTCAAAATATAGGGACAGATGTTATTCTTGGATTCGTTAGTGGTTTCTTAAATGTGACACCAAAAACAGGCAACAAAATTTAAATAAATAAGTTGAACTTCCTTAAAATTAAAAACTTTTGTGCATCAAAAGATACTATCAAGAGAATGAAAAGACAGCTCACAGAATGGGAGAAAGTATTTGCATATCACATATCTGACAAAGATTTGCTATCTAGCCAGAATATGTAAAGAAACCTTACAATTCAGCAACAAAAAGACAACCACATTCAAAAATGGGCAGAGGCAAGCGGGAGGGATGGCATGGGAGTTTGGGGTTAGCAGATGCAAACTATTACATATAGAATGGATAAACAAGATCCTCCTACTGTATATCACAGGGAACTATATTCAATACCCTGTGATAAACCATAATGAAAAAGAATGTATATATATATATATGTATAACTGAATCACTGTGCTGTACAGCAGAAATTAACACGACATTGTAAATCAACTAAAATAAAATAAATTTTTTTAAAATAAAAATTTCAGAACCAGAAAAAAAGGAGGCAAAGCATTTGAATAGACATTTCTCCAAAGAAGATGCACAAATGGTCAATCAACATATGAAAAGATGCTCACCATCCTTAGTGGGGAAATGCCAATCAAAATCACAATGAGATACCACTTAACAACCGCTAGGATGGCTATTATCAAAAAAAACGGAAAATAAGAAATGGTGAGGGTGTGGAGAAATTGGAACCCTCATACACTGCTCTTGGGAATGTATAATGGTTCAGTCACTGTGGAAAACAGTTTGGCAGTTTCTGAAGAAGATAAACATAGAATTTATCATATGATCCAGCAGTTTTACTCTTAGATATATACCCCCAATTGTGCAAACAAGAACTCAAACAGATACTTGTACACTTAATTTTAATAGCATTATTCACAATAACAAGAGTGGAAACAACCCAAGTGTCCATCGGCAGTTGAATGGGTGAACAGAATGTGCTGTGCTGTACACATGTGATATTATTCAGCCCTAAAGAGGAATTAAGTTCTGACACACAGTGCAACACGGATGACTGTGAGAACATGTGCTGAGTTTAAACTTGACTACGTGTTAAGACATTTAAGGAGTCATTAATTTTTGCAGTTGTGAGAGAGTTTTTTAGGACATTTTAAAGAGCCACATCTTGAAATATTTACGGATAAATGAAATATGGGATTTGCTTTCAAATAATCCCACTAAGGGGTGGAGGGCTGGAAGTTGGGAGGCATGTGTGGCTGAGACCAGAATGGAGGCGAGCAAGCTGATGTCACTTGCTGTAGAGCAGGTTACCTGGGGGCTCACGGGGCTCTTCTCTCTGCTTTGTTTATGGTTAAAATTGTCCAAATAAAAACTTTTTAAAGGTAAAAATAGACCCAGGTCATCCACGCCTTTCCCGTCGTCTGCCTGCGCGAGGTAGGAGGTGTCCGAGTGGCGGATTGACCTGGGTTTGCCTCGTTACAGGACCACGTGTTCCTGTGTGAGGGAGAGGACACACTGGACCTTAGAGGTGAGCTTGTTTTCTGTCCCTTCCCTGGGGCCCACGCTTTGCAGAGGCCGCTGGTGGGTGGAGAGGGAAAACCCAGTGCCCCCTCAGCCTGCTGGTGAAGACAGCAGAGTTGTGATTGCGGGAGGGTTTTGTGTTGGAAGGAGGCAGAGGAAATGGGCTCAGTTACTTCTGGTGACAGCATTCCTACTGGCTTTTCTGCACCTCCTGTCAGTGCTGGTCAGCCTGGGCCTAAGGCCAAGGCGTCCTCTTCTAAAAGCTCATCTCATGTAGTGAAGGGCAAGGGTCCAAAGCCTTCAACGAACTTGTGACCAAGGGCAGCGCTTTCAGACCTGGCAGAAGAGAGGGCATGAAGGAGGGGAAGACGGGGGGCGGTGAGGAGGAGCAGTGTGGGGCTGTGGTGGGGGCGGGGCTCCCCCTTGTTGGATCGCTCCGCAGTGAGCCACCCCACTTGTGGGCCTGGGTGTCAGGCCCAGTCAGTCCCCCATGGTCCTCTGAGCTGACTGCAGGCACTGATTTCTGCCTTCGGGTCACCATTTCCCTTTGTTGGTTAGGAAGAGATGGGAATTCGTTCATTCAGAAAGTCCAGAGTAACCTTGCCTTGCCTTGCTGGGCCCCCCACTTAAGACGAGCTCACTTTGAGGACGTTTCCTTTTCATACTTGAGGTGGAATGGAGGGGAGTGGAGTCCAGCAAGCAGTGTGGAAGATAACCCCTCAAGGATTTTTCCAAGCGTGTTTCAGTACAAGCCTGGCTTCAGCCCAGCCCTGGGGCAGGCAGAACCTGCTCTGCTTCTTTCACATTTACCCGGACGGCATGCCCTTGCCCGTTGGGTGGCAGGCAGCCTCTAACAGGACGCTGTGCTGACTTTGTCCCGCAGCCACAGCCAGCGCCTCCCCCAGACAAGAGCCGGGTGAGCCAGGTGGCCCGAGAGAAGCAGCCCGCACCCAGGAGCCTGCACCCACCGTTGACAGCCATGAGCCCAGGCTGGGCCCGAGGCCTCGCTCCCACAACAAAGTCCTGAACCCGCCTGGAGGCAAGTCCAGCATCTCCTTCTACTAAGATGCTGCTGCGTCCCCCATAGCCAGACAAACTCGAGAGATAGGATTTCAAAATTATAGTTTCTTTAGCCTGAAGGAGCGGGGTGGGGAGAGGGTCTATTGGGTGGACACCTGAAGCTGCTGCTCCAGCTCCACTGCCATCACGAGAAGCCGGAGACCTCGCCTCCCAGAAACCAAGGGAGGAAACATGATCCCTGGTGTGAGAGGAGCTCTCGGGTGGGTGGGTGGGCAGGGAGGTGGTGCCAGGCAGGTGCGCCTGAGGTGTGAGGTCTTCACATCCTTGGTGTGTTGGCTAATTGGGTATCTAGGAGTCACTAACACAGTAGCAGAGTTTAAAGCCTTTGAGAGAAATCCAGAAACCACGTGTCCATTACCGTGGGATAGAAGAGCAAGACACGCTGAAACCCTAGTGGGATGGGGAGGGTGGGTATCTGGATAGACCCCTCAGATCCTGATGCTGTTTACCCTTCATGGACACGGTCTCGTTTCTGGGACTTCGGCCCCAGTGTTTTTCACTTCAGTTCCACAGATTTTCTTGAAACATCTTCATTGCTTTTCCTCAGCAGCTGTCAACAAAAAACCAAAATGTTTTCTCAGTCTTATGCTTTATGGAAAGATTTTGTACCCTGACCTCCCAAGGTGCCCCGCTTCTGCCCTCTCAATCCTTGGCCAGATCTTACATAGCAGTCTCTCCCTTTCATCCATGAGAGACTGGTTTTGGGCTCTTTACAGGCAGTTTTGCTTGTGAATTGTTCCTTTTTTCCTCATCAGCCTTAAGTCTAGGCCTTTGCTCCTCACCAATGATGTGGACAGTTCCCTTCACCAGCAACACTTCCTATCTACAAGGCCACTAACTTCTGTAGGACTTTAAAACTACCCAGATATATCCAGGTAATGGGATTGTTTAACTCCTTCATGTGTCTTCCTTTATATTCCTGCTGACAGTGGGAAGAAGAGATGCTTGAGAACCGTGGGTTCTTATGTTTGGATTCTGTCATAATAGCTCAAGACCCGTTCTCAAGTACCAGCTTTACATCAGTAACTGTTGACTCTGGTCTGTTTCTGACACCTTTCTAGAAAAAAGTCTGTTGCTCAGGTACACCAAAGAGGAAGGAAAGTGTTCTTAGGCCACCCTTTATAAAGCTTTGCAGAACCTCTGGATCATATTCAGTTTCCAGACGAGTCTTAGAGACCTTAGGCCAAGAGATTAAATAGTTTGGCAGTAAAGTCTCAACTGACCCATTCCATGGTATTTGCCAGCAAAGATAATGGGCTGGCAAGAATCGTGGTGCTGTAATCTGTCAGGTGGAAGTTTCTCCCATTGAGCCTCTAAAGGGCTACGGTTTCGGTTCCTGTACTGCAGTCACGTGGGACCAACAGTCTGGGTTGGAGCCACTGGTACAAGTGGACAGTTCCCTTCACCACTGGTACAAGTGCCTACAAAGCTAATGCAGGTGCTAAAAATGTCTTCATTGTTAAAATGTAGTCACACTTCTAGTGGCCTGGACGCTCAAGTGCCTGCAGGAGCTCCCTGCCAAGCTCCACATCCTCCACTGGCGCCAGGGGGGTTCACACGGTGCTTTGCCAAGCAAAGACACTTTGCTTTTCTGTCCCCCTGCTGACTTTGGAGCTGAGAAACACTGATTCTATATGACTCTCAAGTGCTTCCTATCTCCTCCATCCTTCAAATGGTCATTTATAGGAAAGTTGTCTGGAATTCATTTTTTTCCACATTAAAAAATGTCATAAATGGTGGTTAGCTTTTAAGCTCAAACACACTAACTTGTTTAACTTACAATAAGATGTTCCAAAGGTAGAAATGAACTGCTATTTGTAACTTTTTTTTTTTTTAATATACAAGAAAATGATTTGTGAATTCCAAATTGGATTGCCAAGAAGACCCTGACGTGCTGCTGGCCCTCGGGGCTTCAGTCTCACCGTCAGTTACATGAGGGGAAGAGCTCTCTAGATCTGTCCCCTGGCAGGGACTTCCGGAGCAGAGCTGGGGTTAGAGGCCTGGGGGAAGGAGGAAAACAACCAGAGCAGAGCCTCTGGGCAGCAGTGACCACATCACCTTATTTTTGTTCCATCTTCCCTCTTCCTTTCCCTCCTTGGGGCTGTGGGCATGGATTTAGAGAGCCCCGAGCAGTCTGGTCACTGGGAGGAGCAGCAGAAAAGTTTTTGCTCGTTTGAACCTGATGGGGGAGGCCATTTTCATTTGGAAAATGCTCTGTACATTGGGGACTGCCTGTATTTGGAAGCTTCATTAACTCTTAGAATCCTTTTCTCAACCTCCAAGCTGCATTGAGAAATTACTCATCTGTATTTTTATTAAGCCTTAAAACTTTATGTGCATTTGGTGCCAACTTTTTGTAAAGCTGTATCAAAAACAACAAACCTGTGCTCACATCTCGATGTAACTTTGAGAGGAGCATTCTGTTTTTACAAGGCAGGAGTGGGTGTAGCCGTTGAATTAAACTTAGCAGTCACGTACTCACAGTCTTTGCCTATTGGTTGTGTGCACAGTGTGCGTGCGGGTGGGCGGGTGGACATGTTCACGTGTCCTCCACGTCCATTCTCCAGAGTGCCTGAACTCTGCTCCTTCCCTTACAGCTTTTCATTGGTTGATGGGGTTTGCCTTTTTTTTTTAAAACCAGAAGATGCCAAAATTAATCTTCTCAAAGTTTATGGATTTAAGGTTTTTTCATTTGAAAACCAAAGACTTGGCTTTGAATAGAATGGACAGGAATGTGGCAGTGTTCTTTTAGTACGTAAATTGAAGGTAATGATTCTTTTTTCACTTAACACCACTTGTTTTCCTGAAGAATTTGCCTCTTGAGTTGACTTTGAAACTTCCATGAAAGCCTGACAGTGAGTGGATGACGTGCTGAGCTATTAGAATCTGCCTATAGATTCAGGTCTTGTAGAGAAAGCATAGATTTTTCTTCTTTCTTATATATTAGCTATTTTCATATGTCCTACAAGCAAACTTAATATCTTTATGTGTATTAAGTGGACTCAGGGTGATGGAGCTTCTCAAACTGCCTGCCTGGAGAGCTCCACTAGAGGAGGCTTCCTTCTAGAAGACTGCTGCATCAGGGCCAACTAACTGGACAGCACTTCAGAAGGAAACCCAGCATGGGTGACCTGACACTGTCTTCACTTGTTCATCTGAGAGCATGTTCCCAGAACTGGGCTAGGCACTGGCACCAGTACATCACCTATTTGTAGCAGCTGCTCCAGCTGCAGGCAAGCACTGAGGTTTTGGAGTGTCACAGCCTGTTTGTTTCCAGAGGTCAGGCAGTGGCTGAGTCAGAGGAGCAAGATGGGATCCCCTGCATTATGGTGAAGAAGTGGAAGACATCTAAGGGTTCCCTCTTCAGGTCCTGTGCCTTGTCCAGAAATACACGGCTCTTTGGACAGAGCATAACTTGTTCTAACATCTTTGTGAGTTGAACCCTGCAAGGATGTCTACACCTCCTATATTATCCCGTTTGTTTCTTCTGAACTCATTATATTCTTAATCCTTAGCGTTCTTGGAGCTCATGAATGAAATCTTCGTGTTCTGTGTGTGACTACAAAGTGCTATCTAAACTTGAACTTAGGAAGAAATGAGAGGGACATTACAGGGACCTAGGTGAGTTTTTAGCAGGCATTAGGGGTGGATACTTCGAAGTTAAAGTATTGATAGAACGTTTGAAACCTGTGTGGGCCCAAATTACATTTTAGGGTCTTGTAATGAGAAAGAGAAAAAGTTGAATAGCGAATTATCTTTACAAATTGTAAAGGAAGCAAGTTCTAATTCAGTTAGCTTGAGTTCTCAAGAGTATACTAGTGTTCTTCAGTAAGCATCAAGAATTATCCAGCATATCATTTTGTTAAAACTCCTTTTTCTTTAACCAGTTTCAAGTAACAAATCTGCCCATACATGTTAGTGGTAAAAACTAATAAAGATGATGACAAGTCAGTTGGCCTCTGACTGTGGTAGTGGTGGCTGGCCTACTGTATTTGCTATTTTAGGAATTGAAAAGGGGCCATATTTCTTGGAAAGGCTTAGAGCAGAAGTCAGAAACATTCCCCAAAACACTCACCAGCTTTCTCTGTAACTTGCTTACCTGAAGAAATTATACATTTCATGTTTGTCCTGGCTAATTTTGAGAATATAAAACAAGTCTATATTGCATGCTTACTATCTGCTGGAGATTGTACTAAACCTCTTTTGTGATCTTCATAGCACTCCTAGTAGGTTGGTAGTTGTTTTAGGCTCAGTTTTACAGTTAGCTAGGATCGAAACCCAGGCAGTCTGAATGTGAGACTGAAACCTCAGATCGTTTCTTAGTGGGGTGGGTGAGCATCCATACAGCACAGTAGGTTGCAAGGGGAAAATTGTGCAACAGTATTTAGGGCATCACCTGCAGGAACGCTCATTGGTGCAATCAGGTTAGGATGAACTCCCCTTGAAGCTTCGCATCAGGTGAAAGGCAGGGGTAAGAGCATTTCTGTTAACACTAAGCTGTCACTCATGGGTTTATGATCAGGATTCATGCCTGTGTGGCCCCCAAAGCTGAAAGTGTAAGTCTTAGATTCATGGTGTCCTCAGATACCAGAGAAAGAAAATGCAAATCAACTGGCTAAAAGTGGAAGAAATAAGGGCCTATCAAAACTGGTAGAATATAAGAAAGTCAAACAGGACAAATGGAAATTAAAAATATAACTGTTGAGGGACTTCCCTAGCGGTCCGGTGGTTAGGACTCTGCGCTTCCACTGCAGGGGGTGCAGGTTCCATCCCTGGTCAGGGAACTAAGATCCCACATGCCATGGGGAGAGGCCAAAAAAAAAAAAGTTGAGATAAAAAACTCAGCGTAGAGGTTAGACTACACATAGCTGAAGTGAAACTGGGAAATTTACGCAACATCAGGACACAGAAGTGGACCAAGTGAGAGTTTGTCACTGGATTTTAGGATGATACGGGCAACTTGCATTTAATTGGAATCCCAGGAG